CCACCCTCCCCCCTCAAAATCCCCCTCGAGCTCCTAGTAATTTCCAAAAAGATACTTCCTTCCTTCTTAATTCTTTATTCTTTATACTAGTAGTTAAGTAGCTAGCTAGCTTTTATATGGTTTCCTAGAGTAGCTGGTCTAGTCTGGTATCTAGACATAGACCTAGACCTAGATCTAGATCTAGGTAGTCGAGCTAGTAAATACCTACCTACCTACCTACCAATCTACTAAAAAAGATATCTCATCACTGACTCCAGAATTAGTAGACCCTATCTATCTAAATCCGGTAACTAATGTAGTACCCACACCTCCTATCTTATTCTCTTATATCACCTCACCTGGGCCGGGAAAAGAGGTAGTATACCCACCTACCCACTCCTGGTACCAAACAACCAAAGTGTCCCTCCCATGCCTTTAATCATAGATACATGACCATATAATCGAATGAGAACGATTGTCGTCACAGCACAAACTCCCCTTTATAGAGCCAAAAAAAGAACAGGGATTTTCCAAAAGTGTTTTTAATTTGTTTTTATCCACTTTTTCTAAACATTTTCAAAGAAGAAGAAGAAGAAGAGCTAAGCTACGCGAAGCTATTCTCACTCCCCATCCCCCCTCTCCCGCCCGTCCATTCATCGGGTAGGCACACATCACATCACGCACCATGCCCAAATGGTACTCGCCTTCCTATGCGAAGAGGGTAGTACAATGAATCCCCTTCCTTCAACTCATCTCATCCATCTCAAATTCCCCTCCGTCTGCCCAGCAAGATAGATGAATTTAAAAAAACGAAGAATCAGGGTCCAAGGTCAAAGCCAAGCCAACCCAAGTCAAAGTAGCAAAAGAAAAATTGTTCTGTATACCATATTCCCATCCCATCCCATTTCACAATCAAACCCAAAAAAGAAGAACACCCAAAATAGTCTGAAAAAAGCAAAAAAGAAGTCGCTATCCCATCTCATCATGAAGGTATAAAACGATAGAAAGCAAGTGAGAAATCAGAAAACATGCAAGAGTAAACAACAAACCAAGAAAAATGTTCAAAACAAGAATGGAATCCATGTGCTGTTGATGGGGAAAATAACATCAGCAAAAAAACGCCCTCCAATGCATGCTGCATGAATAAAATGCAATCTTTCCCTTTTTCCCCCGAAACGCCTAAAAGCGAATAAAGTAAACGCCTGACGGCGAATAAAGTACTGTATTTCCTCCTGTGGATCGATAGAGTCAAATCTTGATCCATCTCTCTTCTCAAACTCGGCCAATGATGACGATGATGTAGGATGGAGAATATGCCATGCTCCACTTTCCCAACATGCTCATGATGACCCCCTAAAAGAGGTCCAAAAAAACTCTACGCCCTAAAAGACGCATGAAACATGTCAAAATCAATCGACTTGCCCGTCTCTCGGCGTTGATGCGGTACATCTGTAATCCCGCACAACTTCCTTCGTCTGAGAAATCCCACGATTTCTCATGTTGAGTCCAGACATGGAATATTATACATTGAATGTGCCGTGAACATTCCGAATATGAACAAATCTATAGCGATGGCTAGGCATCATCCATGGATTTGGGTCGCAGGGAAGATCCGGTGGAGCTTTGCGATTGCTTCATCGTATTCTTGCGAGTCAATTTTGCGTAATGTAGACCACATGCATTGCAAAGAGTTCGTGCTCCATCAGGACCTCTTCTCCATTCCGGAGTTTCGGCTCTGTTGCAACTATGACATCGACCAGGAGGGGCCGCTCTCTATCAGTTCGTTAGACATTGGTTTATTCTACGAGATCCTTTCATATGCACGTACCCCTCGTCTCTTTTTGCTCTCTGGACCAAATCCCTGACTTTTCAAATCATCACCATATACACTCATTTCACTGTCATAATAGCCAGAACCTTTGCCTCCATGTTCCCGCATGTGTTGATCCATCATTGCTGCATGCTCATTCTGTTGGGAAATCATATCTCTCATCCTCTCCAGATACATCCGGATCTTATCCTGGTGTTGAAGCATCTCATTCACATTTTCCAACGTAGGCATGCGATCAGGAACCCCATTAGGATCTCGAGGTTGTTGCTCTTGAGTGATGGTGTGAAAGTGATTTGACCAACTCTGCAGAGCACCACTAGAGACATTGATCTATCAATTGATTAGTATCCGACTTATAGCATCTTCCACAGGTGTTCTTGCATAGCATACCGAAGAGAGATAGTTTTCAAAATCCCAAACCAGGTACCTTCGCTTGAGTCCTTGCTTGAAAGGTACCGGTGCCATATGTGATCTGTCATCCTCTACCTTCCACGCCTCGTCACCCGGTCGTCCTTCTCGTGGGTATCGGGGTTGATTATAGGATGGATCATGTGGCCCCGCAACATGGCTAGGTGCTTGATATGGGTATGCTCCTGGAGCTGGGCCATGGGTATGTGGTGGTGGATGGTGATTGTATCCATTAGGCACACGTTCTGATCCTCTTGTGTCTATTTCATATCGAGGTGGCTCGAAACGAGTAGGAGGATATGAATTATGGGCTACTGGTGGCCCTTGAAAGCTTGGTACTGGAGGATGTCGAGCTGCAGTATCTGAAAAGGTAGTTGAGGGTGGATCTGGTCTCACAAAAGGATTCGATGGTTGGTGATGGATTGAATGTGCCGGAGAGGGGTGTCTAGGCTGCGGAGGAGGTTGACTGGCGTATGGGGTATGATCTGAAGGTGCATATGTTCGTGGGATGGAGGGTCCTTGTGAATAAGGTTGTTGGTTATGGGAAAGTGGGAGTGGCGCTGGCACAGGTGAGGTATGAAAGCTTGGTTTAGAAGCCCTCAAGGCTTCGTGAATAGAGGGTAGCGACTGTCGATGGACTTGTGGTGGTGCTTGATGTGAGGGAGGCTCTGCCTTGTTGTCTAATGTACGTCGCGGCTCAGGAGGAGATACAAGAGCGGCCGTCGAGTGGCCCGGTTGTCCTGGCCAATTTGAGTAGGGAGGGGGAGGACCACTGGAATACATTGACACAGGGCTTACAACAGCCGTGGCGGCCATTGAGGGTGCTGAAGTATAGGAGCGCTCTGAATGACTTCGTTCGAGGGGTTCACGGTTGATGATCGACAAGATTCCACTATATTTGGCAGACGTCAGCCAGTTCCATCTTCGGGAGGAGTAAAGGGAGAAGCCGCTTCTCAGGACGGCATGGCGAGGGAAAGGGGGGTACGGACCTTTGCCTACTTGAGCCATCCACTGCTTCCATGGTCGGTTTGGCAGGCGGGGAGAGAGCAGTGCTGGTATTGTAGCTGTAGGTATAGCGGTGGTTTTCAGTACTGCTGCTATTTCTTGCAAGTTGACGTTCGGGAAGCATGCGTGGACGGCAGACGATATCGTGCTGTTCCCGTCCCGAAATGTGTGTACCCGTTGCACCTGGTCACCTCAGCATCTGCGAGCCCCTCTGCTCGAGTATGCTGCTTGCTGCTGGTGCTTCTGCTCTGTGCGAGGGGTGGACCGTGGGAGATGGCAGGCGGGTAGGGTGAGCTAGATGAGGTTCGACCGGCGCAGCAGCTGCCCTGGAACTGGAATGCCCACCGTTCGTCCTGAGTCGGTCGTCGAGTCAACGAGCACGTCAACCAGCGTGGGATTAGATAGCAGTAGCAGTAGCAGTAGCAGTAGCAGTAACAGCAATGGGCTTCCTGGGGATTTTAAAAGACTAAGAATATGCGACTCCAGAGTCTGTGGCGTCGAGGGTGGTGCCGCAGCACACGGTCCTGGCGATCGAGGTGGCCCACGACCCGATGCTAATATGTGTAAAAAAGCACTGTTTTGGGCTTCTTCCTTTCAGACGACGTCTTGGGTGCCTCTGGAACGAGGGAGACGAGCTGGTGAGTGGGTGGAAGCGAGGACAATGATTGGAGGCACGCGCGCAGGGCGAGTCCGGGAGATCTGGACTTTTTTTTTGGGCACCAGAATATTTGTACCTCCACCCAAGGTCTGTAATAGTGGTGGTCGCAGGTAAGAGGTAGAACTAGGGGGGAATGAGAGGGGACGTCTGACTGTCGACGAGTGAGACTGGGGATCTCGAGAATGATACTGAGACGGACAAGCACGTCGGAGAGGGGGCTCCCAGAGGCAGTTTAGTGGTGATCTTCACAGCAGATGGGAAAAGCAGGACACACTCTACAGGCCGATCCAAGATGCGGGCAGAGCAGACGGGTGGTGGATGGTGAGAGGTGAGAGGTGAGAAGTGAGAGGCGAGGTTTTGATATGGTGATACCGAGGCGGGTCTGGAGGCACGCAGGGAAGGCAGCTGACGGCACGATGGGGGTCAAGATCGAGGGGTGAGAATGCTGGTGAGGTGGTGGAGGTGTTGGTGGTGGTGGTGCTGTGCGTAGTATAGGTGTGGTGATGTTGACCAGACGATGGTTGGGGATGTGAAGGGGATGGTGTTGACCAGACTGTGGTTGGGGATGTGAAGGGGATGGTGTTGAAGAGAAGGATTTCAGGAGAAAGTGAGAAAAAGGACAGAAGGAGAAGAGAGTAAGTGAGGACGACGATGATGATGATGAATCCTCGCGAGATCTGGTAGTGGAGAGAGTTCGCACTACTGGTACCTACGGAGTACTCCCATGGGCCATGGCAGCAGGGGGAGGGCAAGGCAGGGCAAGGCAGGCATGGATTAGCTAGAAGTCGCATGGTACCCTGACCGCTAGCCAGGGAGCTTTATTTAGAGCAACTCAAAAAGCGGAGCCAAGGGAAAGGATAGGGGACGGGGACGGGGACAGGGAGCGTTGACTTTCATCGTGAGATGAACGGGGGTGGTTGAAGGGGTCAACAATCGACGCCCCATTGTCCGTACGCTTCACGGAGAAAGAACAGGGCAGGCCTGCGAGCGAGATGATACCCAGATCTAGTCTGTGCTGTACGAGTACGCAGTACCTTAAAGAGATTGGGGTGTATGAGTATGGGTAGGTATAGGTATAGGTATAGGTATAGGTATAGGTATAGGTATAGGTATAGGTATAGGTATAGGTATAGGTATAGGTATAGGTGTATAGGTGTATAGCCTCATAGGGGTAGTTGTATAGGTTCACAATTGTATATTTCTTCATCCATGCTACCTCTGTTACCTCTGCTACCTCTGCTACCTCTGCTACCTCTGCTACCTCTGCTACCTCTGCTACCTCTGCTATCCACGACAGTACTGCTATTGCCGCAATCCAGATCATACTAGGTAGGCAAGCACCTTTCCGGTATTGTACTATACTCCTACACCTCCTACACCTAGGTACCTAGGTACTTAGGTAGTGCTACCAGTGGTGTATTGTGCCGTACTCGTGCCTTCCTAGGAACTGTACATTCCTTGTACTATACATTACTGCTTCGCCGTTGGCATCTAGTACCTAGGTATGTGTTCCTTCCTATTCAAGCTACTTTACTTGCGCTACAAGTCTACACCCCATGCCAAGACGCCTACTCGGATACCTCATATAGCTAGCTACATTACTTGAGCTACTTCCAAGCTACCAAAGTCTGACAGCAACACTACTGTCTATCCACCTCACCAATATACATCAATTCTCCTCATACGGATCCGGCTACCGGTTACCTCCTACGCCTAGTCCTACTCTTACCTCTACTCTTACCTACCTCCTCCTCCCTCAGCCCTCGGATACGCTACTCCTGCTAGCCTCAATTCTCTCTGCAGCTTAAGCTTCTGATGGCTCGCTTGGCAATCTGACCACACATCATACACTGCAGTATTGTCACCGGCGCCTCCTCAGCCGCTGCGATCCAACAAAACATGGCAGGGCAGGGAGGGCATCGCATGACATTCCACCAGAAGGCCGGTCACTATTCATCTGCATGAGCTGCGTGAGCAGGAGCAGTAGCAGTAGCAGTAGCGAGCGATGCCCTCAATATGGTATGTATGTACAAGTGCGGTACGTCTGCACTATCATGTACTCCGCACATACACATATTTACACATACACGTTGGTCGGCGGGCAAATCTGAGATGCGAGCTTTCTGACGACCGACGACCTTGGATGAAGGAGGAAATCTCGATAGACCGTTGTCCAACATGAGAGACACTGTCATCCCCGTCGATACGATCAAGAACCATGCAGTGGCAGTGGGAGTGGCAGTGGCAGCCGCATCCCTGATCCCATCCATGCCCAAGCCCATGTCCTGCAGCATGCCTCATCGATGTTGATGTGCGGAAGCGCCACATGTGGGTTCGTGAGAGACCGAAGATGAGGGCGAATGTGGGCCCCCCCTTCCCCCCTCCCCGAATCGAAGCAGATGAGCGCCGAGCAGGGTCACATTGGTGTATCCACATCTGGCTGGGCGAGGTGGTGTGTGGGTGAGAGACCGGCTCAGATGGCGCATGGGGGTTTGCCTGGGCGGATGATGGGTGTGGTGTACGGATACTGGCCAGGGACCATGGAAGAGGGGTTGCCGGCGATTGTCCCGCACATGGCCCTGGAGGACTCCAGATGCGCAACCGAAAAAAAGGGGCTGCGATGCTCCGACAAGCGAGCAAAACACTGGAGCCCAATTGTAACCGTCACCAACCTACGGAACATTGGATCTCGCACAAATCCTACCCTACACTACCACCCTGACTGTCCATATCTTGATTATTGAAGCAAAGCTGGCTGGGAGCTCCACCATCGAGCATACCATTCTTCTGTCTGGATTCCATGGATTCCATGGATTCCAACTCGCTGGAACGTTCATGGCGGCCATCATCCATGGTTCGCTCACAAAGACCTCAATCGAGGGATTCCCGCCGACGCGGATGACGGGACACGGCACAGATGAAGCACTGAAGAGGCATGAAAGCATGGAGATTATGTTGACGAAGGAAGCGGTGAAGAATCACAGGGCTGGATACTGGATGGAGCAGGAAGCATGACCAGGGAGCCGTTGGGAAGCACAGCGTAACAGTCATGCCCCTCTCATCCGAATCGAGAAGTCGACACAACTCATGATCAAGTCCACCAGAAATTTGCTGAAGTCGGAAGGCATTTTTGCAAAGGAACATGCTCCGTCCCTTTCCCTTTCCTCGTCTGAATGTGGGGCCATTCTTGAGCAAGTCTCGCAGTTTCTCAGAAACGCCATCACTTGTTTTGATATTGATCTTAATTGCGGTCGCGGGTGAGCATCTCAGCCGGAGCCACCCAAGCGATCGGCTGGAACATCGCGTTTCACCAAGAGACCTCGACGACGACGAGGGCCTTGGTTCTCCAACCACAACCAACATAACCAACAATCACAACAAAGATCACAACAAAGATCACAGCCATTCTCGCGTCTCGAGGAGATTTCATCGGCACCCACCAAACCACCACTACTAAATACTTCTGACAGCCCATATCACAACGCATCACAACCAGCAGCCAGTCATCCAAGTTTCCGTTCCAACGAACTGGAGAATCACGCCGCAGCCGCAGCCTCCTTCCACTTCAATCGTTCTTCACACGATTCTCGGTATTCAGGACCAACCAGATCCACTGGACGGCATTTGCCGACTTCGGCCTCGAAACCTGACAGACTGCGGCGGCGTTATGTTGCTGCACGTCTGCGTTCATCCCCCACCACAGTGCCTCTCCTATACAGCGACAGCTGTATCCGGACGTCGGATTAGAAAGATACACGTGGGATCGGCAGGGCTGGCCCCCTTGTGTGACCATTCATGGCACTCAATCTTGAAATCTCGACCGAGTAATCTCTACTTCGTCCACGTCCCCTGGTGAAGGAATATGCAGAGAATAACATTATAAACGACCGGATCATCTTCCGGCCTACACTACGCCTTCCGTGTACAGATACAAGAACAAATGTACCGAGGTACTTACATCTATCTAGCTCAGCAAAGTACAAAGTAAGCAACGGAAATCGACATGGCTGGGCCAATCATTACCACAATGATATCACAGCCAGGCCATCACATGGCTCTCACGAGAGTTGGGCATACATTTTCCTCCCCTTTAAAAATCGCCTGACGGCCATGACCACAGCCACGGCCAAGATAGAGCAGCATTTGTTCACCTCGGCGGCGTATTTCTCATTCCTGCCTATCTCAAATCACCGATTGCCATGTTTGCCCTATCTTGGCTTCTTACCTTGTTATGGCATCCCTCCTCAAAACAAACTATCACCAATCCAGTCCTTTTGGCTTCGACGTCAACGAACCCCACCAAACGCCTTTTAATTTCTTGCCAGTGACAAAAAGCAATTATGGCCCCTTTTGGAAGCTAGAATCATGCCATAGGTCCTAAATCAGACAACATGTTGAGTGGATCAGAACCCAACATGGACAAGCGCAGATGGTTGCTCCCAAGGATGAACAAAGCTCCCAAAAAGACAAGCGGATTTAACAGGGTTCCAACACGGTACTCATCGTATTGTAACCTCAGCTGCCATTTGACTTCCAAGCCTCTAGGCAACTGTTCCGGTACCCAGTACGATTTGATCGTACGAATACGACGTATTGATGGAACGCCAGCTACGAGATATTCCTTCAATGCAGCAGAAACACATTGCAGAACGCTGTTTTTATCGCTCACAACTGTTGCTGGGGCTCGTCCTTCCAAAACCTCATCTGAAAGAACTCAATTCCAGTTAAAACAGTATGGAGGAAGCTTTCCGAATAGTTACACAAATCTTACCGTCAGATCTGCTATTACAGGTGTGCCAATCAACGAGAATTCCATGTGCCAAATCCTCTTGCCGCTGACCCAAATTCCTCATTCGGCAAGTAGCTCCGGATGGTCGAGGATTAAAGGGCCGTCTGAAAGATGAGGGATAATTATATATCACGATAAATCGCACTTTCAATATTACGACTTTCCCGACCAATAACCATACTTTCAGATCCCAAAGCACGCCATTTTCACTCTGACAGCTGCAGCTTCCGGGACTGAGGTCTACAACCGGCCTGGAAAAGAATGTTTGCAATATACTTGCAGGCGCACCCCACATCTCGGCTGCGAGGTCTGGAAGTGAGCCATTACACAATGAATACCTCAAGACCACAAGACGCACTGGAGTAACAATTACGATGTTTGCGAAGCGAAGTACCTTTTTTTAGCGGCATAGTTTCTGCTGCTTCACAATATCAGGGCCAGCCCCGACAGCGTTCGTTCATCTTACTCGATGTATGACAACACGAGCTTACTTGCATGAGTACTTCTTAAATCATTGCTTGAATCCGAATTACCATGGTTGTTGGTATGAGGCTCAACTTCTCATCCGCTTTTAATCGCAATACAACCTTCCAAGAAGCCAATTAATAATGGGCGTAATAGCGACGCTATCTGTCACAAGCTACCCGGGTTTCCATCTGGTAAGATCATCTCATCTGCAACGTCCCAGTCAATAATTGAACAAGGCGTCGAGAAGACATCTTGCCAGGCAAACCCTAACTATATGTCACGTCCTATAACACTCATGCACGATCGTGTAAGATTGGCGATTTTCATTTTCCCATGAGGCGGGATTTATCTTCACAACCCCCCGGCCCCCCCGGGATCATCTGCAGGCGGAGGCACCTACAAAATCTGAAAGGAGAAAGGGACAAATCCTGCTTCCTAATGATCGTCTCTCCGATCTCTGTCAATATTGTCGTGTGGTTTAGAACTGCAAAATACTCCGTAATGAACGGCGAGGGCGGATGGAATTACTGTCCCGTGGAGAAACGATGAAACGTTGAAAGCGGGAGCCAATAGAGTAATGCCTGTCTGTCGTTGACATCGTTGACAGTCCAGTTCAACGGGTCGTCTCGGGGCCCGGACCACGATCGGCCTGTGAGACATTTGTGGAAGCTCTGTGCTTCGATAAACTTTATCAATGTCTTTCACCTCTATATTTACCCAAATCAGGCAATTCAACCAATGCCGGCATTCATGGCTTTCATTCTCGCCCCAGATATGGTTGTATCAACGCGGCTTGTAGAACCTCGTGCCACGAGTCAACTGCTGTATGATTACTTCTTGGTGGCGAGCCTGGCGGGCAAGCCTGTTGCTGGACTGGCCCTCGCATAGACCGCGAGCTGAAAGGTTTGGTGTCGAAATCGTACGATTTTCAAGCCTCCAAGGATTTGAATTAGATAGTGGAGACGGTGAGCGATATGGCGGGACCGGGTTCGACGATCGATCCTCACTCATCTTCAAGCCCTGCGTAATTACACGACACCCTCCAGTCACGTTGTCAACAAACCGAACCGAGGAGGGCCTACTCCACCCTCTCGGTTGGCAGATGAGACTGCAACACAACGAAACAAGTTCAACAGCTTTCTTGGTCTCTTCTGGAAATCATACGGATTGTGGGGTTTGGGGGATCAATACAAAGCAGTCAACGAGCGATCGGTCTTGAGTTCCCTAATCTAGGACTGTTCTGCGATAGTCTGCGATATCGGTATTATTAACTGGGAGCCTAAATCCTGCTAGATCTACTTGGATCTGCTGGATCTCTGGGTGCTGGATCTCTGTGACGGAAACATCTTGCTGGATCTGCCTCCACCGAATCTTATTCTTGCACCCTTCTGCACATCGACGTCGACTTCGGAACTTAGTGGGTCGGGCAGGAAAAATCCCACCAACGGCCGTCTATATTGCCCCTCCATCCCAACGTAAAGGGAACCCTCATCGCCCGATCATATGCATCACTCAAGCCCTGTTCCCTGTTGGTCAGATTAACTCCGTTCCAACCTATCTCATCCCATTCACGGCCAGCAGCAGCAGCCGCCCAACTACCTTCGTACGATGATCGTTCCCGATAAAGATTCTTTCCCAACTCCAATCAACCATTCTGCTTGTTGGAACAGCTTTTTACTTGCCCGGAACCGGTAAATCTCACTTCCGCTGCAATCGAATCAACTGGGACGCCTTCCATTCCCTGCTGGCCTTCGTTCATGACGATTACTCCGACCACCGAGGCTTCAATCTTTTCATATATCACGCACGGACAACGCCGTCAGTTTCATCGATGGGTCATAATTCGGAAGCGGGGGTTCGAATTGTTCATTGAATTTGACAACTGAACGTGAATGACCTGAGAAATGATCATCACTAATCTCAACTGGTCCCCTATTTCATGTAGGGCTTGGGCGAAGAAATTTTCTACTGGTTTGTTGTACGTATGGGCATCCCAGTAAGTAGCCTTACGAGCTGCACACGTATGCTCTGAGACAAGGAGCCTCAAAGAAATCATCCTTCCTTCCAGAACTTGAACGACAGCGAGGAAACCCAAATTGTACTTCGTCCCAGGCATAACAAATGTTATTCTGTAGTGGGTATACAGGGGACTTTTCAGTGGAACACAGGGTAAGCACGCCTAATAACTTTAACATTTGTTAGGCCTGGGACGAAGTATGTGCCGTGCCACTAGGTCGCATCTTTAGCTTTAAGCGCCTCCATGATCACCCCGAGAGCCGCTCGTTTTTCGTTCCACTAGATGAGCTTGGCTGCTATTTCCGGCCCAAGCAAATACAGGGAACAGAGAACAAGGGGAATACACAGGGCCGTTTCTTGTCACGGTCGACTTGACTCCACTTGCACATGGCACTTTCAAACTGCGCGGATTTGTGGATTTGACAGCAGCCAAAACTCGGTCGATCTGTGGCGTGGCTGTCTCATTGTGTGAAGAATCGAGATGAGTTGGATTGACAAAATCCAGTAAGTAAGAAAGGCAACTTTGAGGAACTACTGCTACAACAGCACAACATTTGCATACTACACATCATCAGTTGATCTTTCTTTTCCTCGCAGGAAATCGACAAGAACCAACTAGGATTCACGCCTCATCCACCAATCCTGCAGAAATGCCGGTGTGCAGCTGCTGTTCTGTCCCACTCACACGTTTCTCTGTTTTAGGTTGCAGCGGTCCCCGCCCCGCGAAATATTCTCCACCTCCACTTTCTATCACTATTCTGTCCATATCTCGTGACCCGACCCGTGTCCCCATTATAATTTACAAATTAATATATTTGTCGACGATCATCAACGATCCTTCCAAGGGTGGTGAAGTCGACCGTCCGGAATGTTCTTCCACTTACTTTCTTGATCCAAGTCCTAATCGAGATCTTGCACGCGGGAGTTTTTACTCTTTGGTGATATCCGGATTCCGTTTTGGGTGAATTATGAAAACAACTGCATGATCTGATCCTCGATGTTCGAAGCTCGTCGTCAATCTTTTCCTCTTCTACCTACCTATAAATAACCCATTCCACTTTCTCGAAACCACACGAAAGATCAATACAAAACCTCTCCTTGCGTTGCATTTCCGGAAAGAGCCGTTTAACTTCGTACATGTCAAATTTGGTGGGTTGGGTTGGCGGGATGTTCATTTTTCCTTTCTGATTTGAGCCAGAAAGAAATGTGAAATCCGATAGATATTACGGGGTATTAATGCCGAGCGGCCCCCCTCCTCGCTTTTTTTCTGGTCCTCTCTCCCTCAGAAGACGGATCCGATCACGAGGTTTTTTACCTTTTTTACGGACATTCCTTCTTTGTTGCTTTTTTTCCTGTGCATCTGTGCCTGTGGATTTTTGTTTTCTTGGGTCCAAAGAAGGCACGGTCCGTAGAGACCTGGACCTTGTCTTGCTCTTGTTTCTCGTGGTGAGATCCCGTTCTTTGGGTTTTTTTCTCGATGGGGATCTTCCAAGTTTCTTATTGACCTAACCTAATTTTCTTCCCTTCCTTTCCGACCGACCAAAAAGACTGGATTGAGTGCAAGGATGATGCAGCACGTGTTTAGCGTACCCACAGGCCCGGAGTTTTCCAACGGGGGGGCTCCTGGGGGGATCAAGTACCTTTCGGAGCTTGGATCTCTTTTTGTGGAATTGAGTTTTGATGTTGCATTCAGGCATTTTTGCATCGGCAGCATCGCCTCGTTCTTTGGGGCCCTTTTCGAGGGGTTTTTCGGTTTCTTTCTTGAAATCTTGATGGGCATGGCATGTTTTTAGGTTTGAGGTACTTTGGGAGTTTATAAGCCGGGATTGGGCCTGTGGTTCCGGTTGGTTTGCTGCTGCGGTTTGGAGTTTTTTTGGGTTGGGGGGTTCGGGATTTGATGTGTGTGTGTGCGTGCGTGTACGTGTGTGCGTGTGCTTGTGTTTGTGACTTAGGGAGGTATGGAGATAGGACTCTCGGGACTCGATCTGATATGTTTTTTGGGGGTAGGGTAGGATGGTGTGGGGATTAAGGGGTTTTGGCTTATCCGGCTTGTGGGTTTTTGGTTCGGTAGTTGGGTGATGGTGGTGGTGGTGGGTTTCTGTGGGTTTGGTTTTGTTTTGATAAGGGGGGTGAGGTGTTAAGTAGAGTAAGATGTATGGGTTTGAGGGTTTGAGACTCCTATTTTGTATACATGATACATTGTACATTGTATTTGTATGGATGTACTTCGAAGTATATAGGGTCTGTAAACTCCACCCACGGTGTCGATTCGGAATTAGGGAGGGATTTTGTTGTTAGATATTATAGGGTAGAGGTAGATAGGAATTAAGTTTGAGATTACTTTTATAACTAAAGTCAATCTTATAGATAGTCAGATAGACTCTCATTAAAATGCATTGCACTTCTATTAAAATATATTACACTAACCCAATAAGGCAACTGGGGCCTTCCGAGGAATCCGCGTCTCGGAGTCCCTCGAAAACACCAAGGTTGCTAGCTTTATCAAGTTACTAAATATACTCGGTAGAATAGTCCTCTATTTAGAGTCCCTCGTCGCCGATACCTTACGACAATATAGTA